CAGGGGCCCCATGATCCCCTATTGCCCGGGGGCCCCATGAGTTGTCAGTCCGCCCCTGGGGTGAGATGACCCTATTACCATTATTGGTAGAATTCTTTAATCAAGAACCTGCAAGGACAGGACTGATGTTGAATGAGAAGATCTGGTTCACCGTCAGAATTCAAATTAATCTCAAAGGCGTTCAGTAGGGTTGAGGTCCAGGCTCTGTGTAGGACAATTGAGTTCCTCCACAGCAAGCTGGTCAAACCATGTCTTTGTGGAGCTGGCTTTGTACTCAGGGGACAGTCATGCTGGAACAAAAAAGGGTCCTCACCAAACTGTTACCACAAGGTTGTAAAAGCACAATTGTCTACAATGTCATTGTATGATGTAGTATTACCAGGACCCTTCACTGGAGACACCTGAACTTCATCATTTGGAGGGGTGTCTGCATCCTTTGGGTCATATAGTGTATCTGTTGGGAGTCAGATGACCCTATTACCGTTATTGGTAGAATTCTTTAATCAAGAACCTGCAAGGATAGGACTGATGTTGAATGAGAAGATCTGGTTCACCGTCAGAATTCAAATTAATCTCAAAGGCGTTCAGTAGGGTTGAAGTCCGGGCTCTGTGCAGGACAATTGAGTTCCTCCACACCAAGCTGGTCAAGCCATGTCTTTATGGAGTTGGCTTTGGACTCAGGGGACAGTCATGCTTTGCGCCATATAGCGTATCTGTTGGGGGTGAGACAGGGGCGGACTGACCATTTGGAAAATCGGGCACTGCCCGAGGGCTCGGGGTCAGTAGGGGGCCCCATGAGATGCCCCTGGTACCTTTTTCATAGGCTTTTTTGAGTTTGGGCAAGGACACAGGGGCCCCATGATCCCCTATTGCCCGGGGGCCCCATGAGTTGTCAGTCCGCCCCTGGGGTGAGATGACCCTATTACCATTATTGGTAGAATTCTTTAATCAAGAACCTGCAAGGACAGGACTGATGTTGAATGAGAAGATCTGGTTCACCGTCAAAATTCAAATTAATCTCAAAGGCGTTCAGTAGGGTTGAGGTCCAGGCTCTGTGTAGAACAATTGAGTTCCTCCACAGCAAGCTGGTCAAACCATGTCTTTGTGGAGCTGGCTTTGTACTCAGGGGACAGTCATGCTGGAACAAAAAAGGGTCGTCACCAAAACTGTTACCACAAGGTTGTAAAAGCACAATTGTCTACAATGTCATTGTATGATGTAGTATTACCAGGACCCTTCACTGGAGACACCTGAACTCCATCATTTGGAGGGGTGTATGCATCCTTTGAGCCATATAGTGTATCTGTTGGGGGTGAGATGACCCTATTACCGTTATTGGTAGAATTCTTTAATCAAGAACCTGCAAGGACAGGACTGATGTTGAATGAGAAGATCAGGTTCACCGTCAGAATTCAAATTAATCTCAAAGGCGTTCAGTAGGGCTTAGGTCCGGGTTCTGACCTCCATCATTGGAGGGGATGTTGTCATACTTTTGGCTCTATTATAGTGTGAAGGTCAGGTGTTCACACACCATCGGATAAAGAGAAAACAGGTGGCGCACACACTTAGTGCATTATCCAAGGTTTATTGTAAAGAGTAAAAAATATTAAAAACATACTCACAAACGAAGCATGTATCTAAAAAGCATAGAAAAATGACGATGGCCACAACGGCAGGCAAGGTGTCCTCACTGTCAGTGCGGTCAAATGGCTGATGCGTTTCGGGGATGAATCCCTTTCCTCAGAGCTAATGACCAGCCTCTGATGCAGATGTGTAATGAATGGAAAGTGGGAGCCTTGCTGGTGATTTCCCTTTTTGGCTGTGCATATCCTGAGGCGCTGGAGAGTACATACGATATCCGGTTCACACACCATCGGCTATCTTGGATATACATTATCAGGGTATGGGCAAATGGAATTTATTTTAGCTACTTTTAAAGTGGTAGGAAACTTCGCATTTTACTTTATAATAAAGCTTACCTTTAAGTAAATGAATATCTCCTAAATGTGCACCCTTTGGGTTCTAGCAAGCAGCAGCCGGTGACGTCACTGTTGCATGCTCTCTAAAGGAATGGCATATGTGTACCGTTCTATCAGAGCTGTATGCCACGGTCGAGACATCTTCGTGGCTCTCCCATTCAAGCGGCCGCAGCCTGCAAGCCAAGTAGGAAGACCGGGTGAAGATGGAAGTCTGCAGTGGAGACAGCGCACTGCTGGAGGGCTTCGTTTCAAGGTAAGTCTTTGTTAATGTGCTAATATGTGGTGCATACTTTATGATATTGCCTTGCAGGAGGAAACTTTTATTTTTTTTTTAAGAGTTTACAACCACTTTAAAGAAATCCTGTACAGGAGAAGCATGGAGGCTGCCATTGCTGACCTCTCCTGAAAATACCTGGAACCCTACACCGTTCTGTCAATAATTCTGGCATTTTTGGCATTTCCTGGCTCCTATTGGCTTCTGTACTTTATGAGTCACTGACATTAGTCAGGTATGCAGATGTAGAATTTGGACTATGTAACCTGCATGCTTTATGTGCTTCAACAGAGACAGCCAGGCAAAGAGCATTCTGGGACAGCATTGTCAACCTCTTGAAGGGATATACAAAACTCTAAAGTGACGGGAGTCACTTTGGGTGGGGGGCCCATGGAACACAGCCCCCTTTGGAGAGGTGGGGAGACCCCTGTCACAGCTCCCCATATCCCTATTATGTGTAAGTCACCCTGTGCCTGTTAGGGGTACAGGATGGATTGTCCAGATATTGTGTAGACATGTATAGGTGGGGTGTGGGGGTTGTTCATTGTCTACTGGCACATGGTGTATCCCATTGTTCTATTGTGTGTCTTGCTTGGGAGCAAACTATTATGGGATATATGTGTTTGTACTGGCTTGGTGGGGGGTGTTTCCGGCAGCCCTTCCCCTGATGGGACAGCCTGCCGATGTGTTTCCTGATACTGGGGATATTGCCCCGCTCTGTGTATATATCTTGTATCTGTGTTAAAATAAAGCAGTCCATTTCCTGTTTTAATACAAGTCTGGTGCTGTCTCGTCTTGTATGGTCAGCGGTGGTATCCGTGGATCTGTGTTTGGACAGGGAAGCGGGAGTCTAACGGAAATACCCTAGTGCAGTCGGGGTCCGGTTCCGTTACATCTAACAATAAACATCTCCTATTGGCTCCATTTTGGTTGCTTACTTTTACAATTGGATATGTTTGCTCTATCTGTTCAATAAGTGCAACAACCTGAAGGTAGGTTGAAATTAGTTAGGTAGGTTCTGCCCTAGATAGGAAGGTAGGGGTTAATGCTTTTCCCGGTTCTTTAGCTTTTGGCAGACTCTCTGGGTCCGACCCACTGCATCTGTGCATATAAAAGGGAACAGTGGGCCGAGTCGAGAACTTTGAGATTTTCAGCTTTTGCTCTGCCGAGCCTAGTCACTGGAGATTCCTCGGGGAGAGCTGGAACTGGGAGGAGTACACAAATGTCGCTCTCCGATACCTGGATTGTAAAGTTGTCAGAACTTGAGATTTGCCCCAAAAACACCAGCTGCTGGAGAATGCCTCTTAGGTACTTTGTAATTACATGGATTCTACCACTTCAGGTGTGCCGGGACAGCACATAGCCTGGTTGAGGGTAAAGATTAAGGACTTAGGAGAAGATTGTGTCATGTTGGACTCTGTACTGTCAACAGCAGGGTTCCTCAACCAGAGTCTCTCCAGAGGTTACTAGGGGTTCCTTGAGCAATGAGAATTTCCTGCCTCTCAGATACACTATATTTCCCCAAGTATTGGACTGCCGGCCTTTCCCCGCACATGAACTTTAATGGCCTCCCAGTCTTAGTCCGTAGGGTTCAATATTGAATTGGCCCCGCCCTTTGCAGCTATAACAGCTTCAACTCTTCTGGGAAGGCCGTCCACAAGGTTTAGGAGGGTGTCTATGGGAAGGTTGGACCATTCTTCCAGAAGCACATTTGTCAGGTCAGGCACTGATGTCGGGGGAGGAGGCCTGGCTCACAGTCTCTGCTCTAATTCATCCCAAAGGTGTTCTATGGGGTTGAGGTCAGGACTTTTTGCAGGCCAGTCAAGTTCCTCCACCCCCAACTTGCTCCTCCGTGTCTTTATGAACCTTGCTTTGTGCACTGGTGCGCAGTCATGTTGGAACAGGAAGGGGCCATCCCCAAACTCTTCCCACAAAGTTGGGAGCATGAAATTGTCCAAAATATCGCCTTAAGGGTTCCCTTCACTGGAACTAGGGGGCCAAGCCCAACCCCTGAAAAATGACCCCACAGTGTAATCCCCCCTCCACCAAACTTTACACTTGGCACAATGCAGTCAGGCAAGTACCGTTCTCCTGGCCACCGCCAAACCCAGACACGTCCATCGGATGGCCAGACGGAGAAGTGTGATTGGTCCCTCCAGAGAACATGTCTCCACTGCTCTAGAATCCAGTGGCAGCGTGCTTTACACCACGGCATCCGACGCTTTGCATTGCACTTGGTGATGGAAGGCTTGGATGCAGCTGCTCGGCCATGGAAACCCATTCCATGAAGCTCTCTACGCACTGTTGTTGGGCTCATCTGAAGGCCACACCAAGTTTGGAGGTCTTTAGCTATTGACTCTGCAGACAGTTGAAGACTTCTGCGCACTGTGCGCTTCAGCATGCGCTGACCCCGCCCTGTCATGTGACGTGGCCTACCACTTGGTGGCTGAGTGGCTGTTGTTCCCAGTGGCTTCCACTTTGTTATAATCCCACTAACAGTGGAGCGTGGAATATTTAGTAGCCAGGAAATGTCACGGATGGACTTATTGCCCAGGTGGCCACCTATCACGGGACCACGCTTGGAGTCACTGAGCTCCTGAGAGCGACCCATTCTTTCACCAATGTTTGTAGAAGCAGTCTGCATGCCTAGGGGCTTGATTGTATACACCTGTGTCCATGGAGGGGATTGGAACACCTGAATCTAATGATTTGGAGGGGATTGGAGCACCTGAATCCAATGATTTGGAGGGGATTGGAACACCTGAATCACATGATTAGGAGGGGATTGGAGCACCTGAATCACATGATATGGAGGGGATTGGAACACCTGAATCACATGATTGGGAGGGGATTGGAACACCTGAATCACATGATATGGAGGGGATTGGAACACTTGAATCACATGATTGAGAGGAGATTGGAACACCTTAATCACATGATTAGGAGGGGATTGGAACACTTGAATCACATAATATGGAGGGGATTGGAACACCTGAATCACATGATATGGAGGGGATTGGAACACCTGAATCACATGATTGGGAGGAGATTGGAACACCTGAATCACATGATATGGAGGGGATTGGAACACCTGAATCACATAATATGGAGGGGATTGGAACACTTGAATCACATGATATGGAGAGGATTGGAACACCTGAATCACATGATTGAGAGGAGATTGGAACACCTTAATCACATGATTAGGAGGGGATTGGAACACCTGAATCACATAATATGGAGGGGATTGGAACACCTGAATCACATGATTGGGAGGAGATTGGAACACCTGAATCACATGATTGGGAGGGGATTGGAACACCTGAATCACATGATTAGGAGGGGATTGGAACACCTGAATCACATAATATGGAGGGATTGGAACATCTGAATCACATGATATGGAGGGGATTGGAACACCTGAATCACATGATATGGAGGGGATTGGAACACCTGAATCACATGATATGGAGGGGATTGGAACACCTGAATCACATGATATGGAGGGGATTGGAACACCTGAATCACATGATTGGGGGGAGATTGGAACACCTGAATCACATGATTGGGAGGGGATTGGAACACCTGAATCACATGATTAGGAGGGGATTGGAACACCTGAATCACATAATATGGAGGGGATTGGAACACCTGAATCACATGATATGGAGGGGATTGGAACACCTGAATCACATGATATGGAGGGGATTGGAACACCTGAATCACATGATTGGGGGGAGATTGGAACACCTGAATCACATGATTGGGAGGGGATTGGAACACCTGAATCACATGATTGGGAGGGGATTGGAACACCTGAATCCAATGATTTGGAGGGCGGGGACAATACTTTTGGCGATATAGTGTATGTTCCATTGACACCAATCATCATTTTAGCTACCTGTAATGGGGTAATTCATGACAGAAGGGTGAGGAGCGTTCTTCCCACTGACCTTCACACTAGTGTATCAGGAGTTGTAGATATAGTCATCGTTAGCGGGGGTTCCCTGACACCGGAAAGTTATTTCAAGGGTTCCTCCGTGTTGGAAAGGATAGGAAAGGATGGTCTACAGTTGTCCAGAAACGTTGCCTTCTTCCTGGTCTGCAGTGACTCAAAGAGGTGCAAGTGACGACTTGATGTCCTAAGCATGTCCCAAGGCCTCTTGCACACAGGGGTCTGCAGTGTATATACACGGCTGTACTCTGGTACATGCCAGTGCACCTGTACGCTCTACATGTGTCCACACGAGCACCGGTGTATACCCGAGTACAGCCGTGTACATTCATGTCACGCATCACCTGGGCTTTCTGAGTGGGGGAAATACACGGAATTGACGTTGCTCGGGTTCAGGTGCCTGTGTGCCGTATCATCTATTTGCTCCAAGTTCTTGGCCCCAAATGATGTGAATGCAATAAAGACTTTGTATGTGATCTCTACAACAACACCTGCCTGTAGCAGGGCTTCTAAGAAATGTGCACTAAGCAACACATCAGCAGATTAATGCCGGATCTGGCCGTCTTTGTGCTGGGATCAATGACCTCTCGTGTATATGTGTGGGAGACGACGGACCAGCCAATCAAGATGGCCTGCAATGTCAAGACCCGACTCAAGACTAGTTTGTTTTTTTTTTTTTAAATCCAAAAAACTTTTATTGTCAAGATAGAGAAAATGGAACAATACTTACACAATCCACCCCGAAATCACTGCAACACCGGAACTACAGATACAAAGAGCAACGTGGATACGCAGATCCCGTAATGAGCAGAGTAACAGAAATGGTAATCCAACAAAACGAAGACCACAAGGATCCACAACCTTCTCGGACTGAAGACTAGTTCAGGGTGTCAGCGGGTAAGTCTGCCCCAATGTACATCTACTGAGTGCTGTGCATACAAACCCTGTGCACCGGCGCTGACGTCTGCCTACTGACCTGCTAGGCAGCAGAAACAAGACATACCTGCACTCAAATCCCAATAGCTTGTTCATGCATTTATCTATCGGGCGCTAAAGGTGTGTAGCCACGTATTACCACGTGAAATCCCAGAGGAACCCTCTGCACACCGCTATACACCCCTCCCAGCAAACGTCCTGGGCACTCCTGTGTCTCCGGTGACTCCTGGGCACTCCTGTGTCTCCGGTGACTCCTGGGCACTCCTGTGTCTCCGGTGACTCCTGGGCACTCCTGTGTCTCTGGTAACTCCTGTGTCTCCGGTGACTCCTGGGCACCCCTGTGTCTCTGGTGACTCCTTGATACTCCTGTGCCTCTGGTGACTCCTGGACACTCCTGTGTCTCTGGTGACTCCTGTTGACTCCTGCGTCTCCGGTGACTCCTGTGCACTCCTGTGTCTCTGGTGACTCCTGGGCACTCCTGTGTCTCCGGTGACTCCTGGGCACACCTGTGTCTCTGGTGACTCCTGGGCACTCCTGTGTCTCTGGTAACTCCTGTGTCTCCGGTGACTCCTGGGCACCCCTTTGTCTCTGGTGACTCCTTGGTACTCCTGTGCCTCTGGTGACTCCTGGGCACTCCTGTGTCTCCGGTGACTCCTGGGCACTCCTGTGTCTCTGGTAACTCCTGTGTCTCCGGTGACTCCTGGGCACCCCTGTGTCTCTGGTGACTCCTTGATACTCCTGTGCCTCTGGTGACTCCTGGGCACCCCTGTGTCTCTGGTGACTCCTTGATACTCCTGTGCCTCTGGTGACTCCTGGACACTCCTGTGTCTCTGGTGACTCCTGTTGACTCCTGCGTCTCCGGTGACTCCTGTGCACTCCTGTGTCTCTGGTAACTCCTGGGCACTCCTGTGTCTCTGGTGACTCTTGGGCACTCCTGTGTCTCTGGTGACTCCTGGGCACTCCTGTGTCTCTGGTGACTCTTGGGCACTCCTGTGTCTTCAGTGCTTTTTGGGCACTTCTGTCACTCCTGGACACTCCTGTCTCTCTGGTGACTCCTGGGCACTCCTGTGTCTCCGGTGACTCCTGGGTACCCCTGTGTCTCTGGTGACTCCTTGGTACTCCTGTCTCTCTGGTGACTCCTGGGCACTCCTGTGTCTCCGGTGACTCCTGGGTACCCCTGTGTCTCTGGTGATTCCTGGGTACCCCTGTGTCTCTGGTGACTCCTTGGTACTCCTGTGTCTCTGGTGACTCCTGGCCACGCCTGTGTATCTGGTGATTCCTGGGCACTCCTGTGTCTCTGGTGAATCCTGGGCACCCCTGTGTTTCCAGTGCCTTTTGGGCACTTCTGTGACTCCTGGGCACTCCTGTGTCTCCGGTGACTCCTGGGCACTTCTGTGTCTCCGGTAACTCCTTGGTACTCCTGTGTCTCTGGTGACTCCTTGGTACTCCTGTGTCTCCGGTGACTCCTGGGCACTTCTGTGACTCCTGGGCACTTCTGTGTCTCCGGTAACTCCTGGGCACTCCTGTGTCTCTGGTGACTCCTTGGTACTCCTGTGTCTCCGGTGACTCTTGGGCACTCCTGTTTCTCTGGCGACTCATAGGCACTCCTGTGTCTCCGGTGCCTTTAGGGCCCTTCTGTGACTCCTTGGTACTCCTTTGTCTACAAGAAGCCTCTTGCTTCTTCTGCAGGGGTCCTGCTTTCTTTGCTCCCCGCAGGTAACCCTTTGCTGACTCTGCACCTTCCGGTACGCTCCTGCAATCACCAGGAATATCGATCCCTCAGAGGACGCAGGCGATCGCCAGATCTACAATTATAAAACATCCCTCAATACCCCGCGAGAGAGACAGATGGAGACCCTTTGCTTCAGACCTCAATGACTGTGAGATGCTTCTCTGGCAGGGGTTTCGGTTGGAGGGTTGCAGGCTGGTGCCCCATGACTCTCCCTCTGGGGATGTTGTCGTGATTTGCTGCCTATAGAGGTGTCACTAACCAGGATAATTAATGGATTCATTCTGAGGTTCAGCTGCAATTAGCACTCCTGCCGGGGGGGGGACGAGTTCTGAGCTACAGCTACCATCTGTCGGCCTCCCTGGTGGCCATTCCAAGTACACCTCCGTGACCAAAATTACAACTGAGTGAGATGTCTCTCCACATACCTGGCTGTTTCCGCACTCCGAGCACGTTGTATACAGCACATGCCTTCAGCTCAGTGTCAGGGAGCATGTGTACAGAAACTGAAGCTTCAGGCGCTCCCCTGAGGCACGTTACCTGGAAGCATCCCATGTGACCTTCGCTAGCCAATTGTGAGTAAATTATTAGCGGCATACTCTGAAAGCGGAACTTCACCCTCGCAGTCAGCGCGGACTATTTGTAATCCTCATTAAGAAATAGGAAAGTTTATTAGATTTACTTGTTTTAAACATTTTACTTTCTGGTTTCCATGCCTAGGCAAATGATGTCAGACATCCCAGGAGTCTTCAGGAAGGGAGGAGGGGCTACCCACATGGAAGAAAAATATATTTGAAATGCTACAATTCATATTCTGTGCACTATGGAAGATATATATTAAAAAAATAAATAAATATATATATATATATATATATAAATACAGTGAAGTAAATGTGTATTTGCTCCCCCCTGATGCTGAATGTTCGCCCCTCACACAGAAATGATCGGTCTAACAATGGAATGTTCGCCCCTCACACAGAAATGATCGGTCTAACAATGGAATGTTCACCCCTTACACAGAAATGATCGGTTTAACAATGGAATGTTCGCCCCTCAAACAGAGATGATCGGTCTAACAATGGAATGTTCGCCCCTCACACAGAAATGATCGGTCTAACAATGGAATGTTCGGTGTAACACTGAGAGACCGAATACAACAACAAATTCAGCAGAAATGCGTCTAACAAATGATGACTGATCTGCATGTTCATGAGGGAAAGAAGGATTTGATCCCCTTCACAAAACATGACTTAGTACTTGGTGGCCAATCCCTTGTTGGCAATCACAGAGGTCAGACGTTACCTGGAGTTGGCCCCCAGGTTCGCACACATCTCAGGAGGGATTTTGGCCCACTCCTCTTGGCAGATCCTCTCCAAGTCATTAAGGTTTGGTGGCTGACATTTGGCAACTCGAACTTTCAGCTCCCTCCACAGATTTTCCATCGGATGAAGGTCTGGAGACTGGCTAGGCCACTCCAGGACCTTAATGTGCTTCTTCTTGAGCCGCTCCTTTGTTGCCTTGGCCGTGTGTTTTTGGGTCATTGTCATGCTGGAACACCCATCCACCACCCATTTTCAATGCCCTGGCTGAGGGAAGAAGGTTCTCACCCAAGATTTGATGGTACATTGCCCCGTCCATCATCCCTTTGATGCGGTGCAGTTGTCCTGTCCCCTTAGCAGAAAAACACCCCCAAAGCAGAATGTTTCCCCCACCATGTTTCACAGTTGGGATGGTGTTCTTGGGGTCATAGGCAGCATTCCTCCTCCAAACACGGCGAGTTGAGTTGATGCCAAAGAGCTGGCTTTTGGTCTCATCTGACCACAACACTTCCCACCAGTCCTCCTCTGCATCATTCAGATGTTCAGTGGCAGACTTCAGACGGGCCTGGACATGTCCTTTCTTGAGCAGAGGGACCTTGCGGCACTGCAGGATTTCAGTCCTTGTCGGCGTAGTGTGTTACCAATTGTTTTCTTGGTGACTGTGGTCCCAGCTGCCTGGAGATCATTGACAAGATCCTCACGTGTAGTTCTGGGATGATTCCTCACTGTTCTCATGATCATTGAAACTCCACGAGGTGAGATCTTGCATGGTGCACCAGACCTAGGGAGACTGACACTTGTT